CAGTTGGACCTCTCAGGGCTTGCCACGTGGCACACGCTTATTCGTCCGCCTTGGACCTATTATGTCATGACATGTGGCATACTCCAATGCTAATGGAGAAGTCGGCCACCCAGGCCCAACTTCCGAGGGAAGCCCAATCAGCCCAAGGTTAACCTAAACCTAAATTGGCACGTTTCCCGAGGTTATAAATACCTCCCTTAATCCTCATTAAGGGAGATTACGCAGATTACACACATTAAACTCTCTCACCTAGAGAGACCCAATCACTTTAATTTCCGCATTAATTACTCCTTAATCAAGTACTAACTTGACCGTAGGAGGCGGATCTCCAATCATCCGGAGCATCCGTTTGTTTTGCAGGTACAGGCGTCCGGTTCCAGTCTCGGAATTGTAACTCTCCCGCAGGACATCAGAAAACCCCGAAACACTAGTCAATATGAATAAAAAGGGTCACCATGTTAAATTTAGGGTCACTATTTTCAATATAACTCGTCGGCTAACTCGTGTGTACTTCAGGTCACACAAATAATAAGAATGGTCACTATGTTATAATTAAGGTCACTATGTTAAATATAAACATCAATTGCGTATGTACGTATAAACCTCTGGTCCACAATAATTTTTTTTCCCTTCTGATATGTCCATTTTATATAGTGATTTATCCCCGTCCTTTGGTTATATTTAGGAGTATTTTTTGGCTCTATGGAGCTATTTTTATTACTAATATGCGTTTTCTAGTGTTTTCGTAGCTTTGGTATTGTTTTATAGGAAATTGCAGATTTGGAGCATTTCCCAAACTTATTTGAGCCATTATGAGCATTGGATTTGGTTCGCATTAATATGACCGTATTCCGTAGCCCAAGACTGCATTAGAGTAATCAAATCGATGATTAGGGGCTTGGAAAATAAGAAGAGACCGAGGCATTGGACCAAGCTATAAAGACCCAGGGAGGAAAAGTTTGGATTGGGCCAAGAATTAGTTCAATAAAAGAAGTCTATAATGCCCGGAAGCTCGCCCGACCTGGGAGTGCCCTGGTCCTGAGGCGTGCCTGGCCGGGCGAGGAAGAAAAAGCAAGACTCTTGCACCCGGAGGCGCGCCCTGTTGGGCGAGTGAGAGAAAAGCATTACCAGAAGGCGCGCCCGACCGGGGGCGTGTTTTTGAAGAGCTTAGAGACGTTAAATCTTTGTTTTATCTTAGGATTTTCTAGCTTAGTATAAATACGTTTTTGTTAAACGAGATAATCGCGTCATTCATTAGTTAAAATTCCAGATTTAAGTTTTAAGCTTTCATTAGTTGTTTTATTCTCTCAACACTTTTGGTTTATGCAATTCATTATTTCTGTTTATTTTGGTAACGATATCTTCCCCTTTTATTTCCAGTAATTTAATTGCTTTGATTAATCATGTCATGTTTTATTGCTTTACTTAGTTTAGATTTCTATATGTGTGAGTAGTTTATTTCTAGGGTTCGTGGGGATCCGTAAATAATATGAAGGGGTAACTTATTATTGTTGATTGTTAATGCTTGGATTAATTTCCTATTGATTGATTTAATGCTATGCAATTAGATTAGTGCTGGTTTAATTGTATGAGTTACGCAATATTCATTCGAGATTCGATAGATGAGAATTGATGTTTAGGCTTAGTTTCTATAGGCAAGTTAATTTATAAATGGTTAAGTCAAGATTCGAGAGATGCGATTTAATACCGCTAGATTAATTTTGTGATTGTGATACGTTGAGAAAGCCCTTTATGATCTGATTAATTGATTGTTATGTTTTACCCTGGAATATTATTATTGGTGAACCTATAACTTAGGCTTTAATTTATTGTTATTCGCATTATTTTATTATTCTCTTGTACTTGGTCTTTTAGCTTTTCATTTTCCTTCTCAAGTACTTCATTTTTTTTGTGCAAAGAGGACATTTCTTCTTTCACATTACTATCCAATACCACAGTCCTTTGTTTAATTTTTTTTAGACCCGTCCTTCCTTTGCAAAGCATGCAACCCGTAAATGTCGCTCTTTCGAACCCCAAGTTCGTAACTTGTAGGACGATCAGGAATCTCTCCACCATGCATGGTTAGCTCAAAGGCTTCATCTTCAAGTTCCTGTTGGGACTTAGAAGGGTTTATCAACCTCAACTGTTCAACTTTCGCTTTCGCATCATCCTATAAAAAACGTCAAATAATAATATAGTAAAAGAACATCATTTCCACATAAAATGACAAGCTTTAAAACACATTTAGATCTTTTACCATAAAATCTTCGGTCACTGTGCCTGGAAGAAACTTCCATCCTTGCCTGTATGAGCTTTTATCCAGAGAGCTAATAAGCTCATCTTTTCTCCATGCTCATCTTCCTATATATTATTAATGTAAGAAGTATAAATGAAAATATGAACAAGATAAATTGCATAATCAATAAAAATATATGTTTGTAACGTATGATGGTCATTTATAAGAATGGTTCTTACGTGGTCAGCTTGTTTGTTCGCAAAACTGTTAGAACCGCATCTATGTAATTGATTTAGGGAGGCCCGTGCTGCTTTACCACATGCTGATAGTGACTACACTCATATTCAAAGTCATAAATAAAATTATGTAATTTGCATTAAGACCAAAATTAACTCTAATTAGAAAGCAAGATGTCTGATATCTCAACAAGAAGAAATGTACTTACTTTCCTTTTCTCTGAATCCCAATACTTAACTAGCTTTATCCAATTTTGACTACTAATTCCATGCGGTGGTGTAGCGCTACACATCTCTTCTAAAGTTTTCTCTGTTGGTTTGTAGTAATCCTTCTTAAGATTAAACTTATATTGCCTCCAACTTTTATTAACACGCTTGAGGGCTGCTTTGTTATATAGTTCACCTATGGGAATCACAAAGCGATCCTTATACATAAAAACAAGTAACTTCAGTAAGAGTATTTATACGCTGGTAAAAATAAATAAATTCATGAATGAAAAAGTAGTTTTTTATGACAAGTAATAGAAAAAAGGTGATACATACTCTCATCTCATTAATTATCTTTTTTTTTTTAAAACGCTCATCAATAGCATGCCAATCCTCTTCTCCAAGTGGACAATACGTCTCTATCTTCGCAATGTGACCAAGGAATTGGATTAAAATATGTCCACCTTTTCGAATGGGTTGGTACAACTCATTAAATTCAACATAGAATCTGACACCGTTATTACTCCAAACATCAATAGGCTAAATAGAACCACTCAAGTATACAATGTTACCATTAGCATCTGCACAAAAGCAAGGGACTTAAAAATTGAATAAAGCTGCAAATTGAGGTCAATAATATATTTATTAACACGTCAAAACTATCAACCAAAAAAAAGAAAAAAGAATTAAGAAAATGTAAAAAAAAAAAATCAAAAAGTGAACATACCCACTGTCAAAACCTATTCTTTGTCATCAAAATCATCTACAGTCACGCCAATCTGGATGTAACTTTGATCGTACAGACTTCACTGGTTTTGAGCCTTTTTTTTTTCCTCACAATTCTTTTTCTCTGTTTCAATATGAGCATCTTCTTTTCTGCTTTTCTCATTTGAATTGACTAAGTTTGAGGAGGAGGGATAATCAGAATTGAAAGAGGATGTAGAAAGATATTTTAGTGACTTTGATGTAATAGAAGGTGGGATGTTACGTAAGCTCATGGATGAAATTGTGGGTGGGTTTTCTTTACCATAACCTGATAAGGTTGATGATGCTGGTACCTTATGTGAAGGTGCCTTATGTGAGTTATTAGTTGATGCTGGTGCTTTTTGTGAACTTGATGTTCTAGTTGGTGGGTTTTTCCATATAGCTCCAATTTTGTTATCTTTCACAGGCGTTTGTGCACTTGTTGATGTATTCAAAGATGGTGGTAAAACCTTTACTGTAGTGGCAGCTGGTTGAGAAAACGGTCCCCATTTAAAAGTCGTCTTTGGGACTTGGGACATTGTTCTCTCATTAGCTTGTTTTTTGGTTGGCTGTGAATCCTGTGTTGCATCTCCACTCATATATGCACGAGGGGCAGTAGATGTAGCCCTTTCTCTTTTCACTCGATAAGTCATCACCTACATGACCACATTATAATAGTTAGTAAATGAAGATTGTCAGTAATATATAAAAAAAGGTTGTCGATAGCAGATCAAAGGAAAATCAAGTGAGTATGGCTAGAACATAAATCCAAAAGCAAATATCAAACTCATATGATCAAGTGTATCATGTAAACTAAAGAATCAAATACAATTTTATTCTAAAAACTCTTCATCATTTGGTATATCAAACAAGTCCTTAGGCTTAGTCTTAATAACATGAAGCCATCCCTTTTTAATCTCATCTTCAATGTAAAAAACTTGCTTGGCTTGGAATGAGAAAATAAATGGATCGTCATGTAAATTTCGACCACTGTGCATCAACTTTGAAAAATTGACACAAACACCACCATTTGGGTATGTTTTGACACCTCTATGTACATCAACCCATTCACATCGAAACATTATAGCCTTGAAAGAACCATAATAGTCAAATTCCAATATTTCTTTGAGCTTTCCATAATACTCTTGGCCTTCGGCTTCTACCATGATTCCAGAATTTTGTGTCTTTCGGAATCTCTCACGATCCATAGTATCAAATTTGTAACCACTGATCACCACACTTTTCATCCTTTTTACCCGGTTACTCAAACCACCGGCTAAGGACTTTCTCATTTTTCCTTCTGTTGTGCTGTCATCTAGATTATTGACCTATAATTAAAAAAAAAAGTTACACATAGATTAGTTATAAAAATAAATAAGACAGTTTTCACCGTTTTAAAGCATATAACCTGGTTTTGCAACCAATCAGCAAACTCAATGATTATCCACTGGCTTTCAATACTCTCATTCGATTTCCTTCTTCCGACTTGATTCTCTTGTTGCCGTTTTTGTTCTATGAACTCACTTTTCAAAGTGGACAATTGTGTTACTACCTCGTTAAAAGTGATTATACTCTAAAATTGCTTATAGTACTACTTACTCAAGCACTAGTTTCATCTCATCTGAATGAAGCGAAACATAGCGATGCGCTTGCATTAAACTTTTGTCATCAAGACGAACATTATCTTTCTTTCCAAGTACACGACCGCCAGAATTGTATAAATAAGTATAAATGTTTGGAACACCATCCTCATTCCTTTTCGGTTTGCTAAATATCATCTCAACACTTTCTAAATATCTTGAGCAAAATGTAATTTTCTCCCATAAAAGGTACCCTTCTGCTATAGATCCTTCAGGTTGTGCTTTATTGCTTACATGAGATTTCAAAAAGGCTAAATACCTTAAAAACAAAAATTATATATGTTAATGTATTTAAAAAAAAAAATTAATATGTGTTAAGTACTCTTATATAAGAGTGAATATTTTGATATATAGATAGATATTAACCTTTCAATGGGATACATCCATCTATAATGAACTGGTCCGCCGAGTTTTACCTCATCCACTAGATGAATGAGAAAATGAACCATGATGGTGAAAAATGTCGGTAGAAACTCTATCTCCATTCTACAAAGAGTTAACACAAGCTTTTTTTGAATGGAATCTAGTTCTTCAATGTCAATAGCGGGTGAACATATCTTCTTGAAAAAGTACGACAACTCCTCAAGCAAGTCAATAACTTTTGTGGCATTTGATGCTCTTAAAGCAACTGGAAGTATATCTTGCATAAGGATATGGTTGTCATGGCTTTTCAAATTAATAAGTTTTCGCTGCTTCAAATTGACACATCTTTGTAAATTAGACCCATATCCATCAAGAACTTTAACTTTTTTTTTTTAACACTCTTAGAAATTGTTTCTTCTCTTCATTAGACATGGTGTATGCAGCTGGAGGCATATATTTTTGAGCCCGATTAAGATGAGATTGAAGCCAAAGATGAGGTTTTATGTTTTTCTTCTCAAGAGCCTTTCTAGCTTTTGGATCATCTCTACTTTTATCCATATCTAATAGAGTTCCTAATAGATTGTCACACACATTCTTCTCAATGTGCATTACATCTAAACTATGTCTAAGAAGATTATGTTCCCAATATTCCAATTCAAAAAATGCACTTTGCTTCCGCCATATAACATCATCAGCATCAACTTGATAATCATCATCAATATCTGTTGTACCTCTATTTTTCCTTTTGTTAGAAGCTTTTTTCGAGGTTCCATAAACATACTTAACCTTTTATTGCTGCTTCAAAACATCGGTCCCACTTAAAGGAATTGGAGCAAGGCCGTACTCTTCTTTCCCATCAAATAATTGAGCTTTGCAACGATAAGGATGATCAATTGGCAACCATTTTCGATGTCCAGGAAAGATAATTTTACCACCAAATCTATATGAATAAGTAGAATTAGCACAAGAAGGGCAAGCTTTATAACCTTTGGTACTCCATCTCGACAACATAGCATATGCTGGGAAGTCATTTATTGTGGAGTGTAAGGCTGCTCGCATGTTAAAGGATTTTCCACTGTAAGCATCAAAAGCATTTACACCTTTCCACAACAATTTCAAATCATGTATTAATGGTTGCAAGTATACATCAATATCAATACTAGGACCATATTTACCCGGAATAATCAAGGACAAAATGAAAGATGATGACTTCATGCAGATCCATGGTGGAAGATTGTAAGGAATTAAAACCACCGGCCATGTATTGTAATTAGTATTCATTAGACGATATGGATTAAAACCATCACTAGCTAATCCCAATCTAACACTACGAGGGTCGGCAGAAAATATCTTATAATTTTCATCAAATTTTTTCCAAGCAACACCATCTACAGGGTGCCTTAGGATCTTATCATCCTCACGGTTAAAATGCCATCTTATATCCTCTGCTGTTTTAGAAGACATGTAAAGCCTCTTTAGTCTAGATATGAGAGGAAAATATCGCATAACTTTAGCTGGCTCACCTTTCTTAACTGATTCATTCCCTTTCTCAATTGTGTCACCCTCCTTCCCTTTAATAGTAATCCACCTTGATGTATGACAAATATGACACTCAATTTCAGCGTCAAATTCCCCCCAATATAACATGCAATCATTTGGACATGCATGTATTTTTTCATATCCTAATCCCAAGTCTTTGATTATCTTAATCCCTTCATAGTAAGGTGATGGAAACTCTTTAATATGAGTGAATGCATCATTTAGAAGTTCAATCAATTTATTAAATGACTCGGCAGACCAATGAAACATACACTTAAGGTGAAACAGATGTAAGTGAAATGATAACTTTGAGAAAGTAGTACAACCCTCATATAGACCCTCATTAGAAGCTTCCATAAGACTTTTATACTTTTCCATTTCTTCATTAGTGTTAGTTGAAGGAATTTCATCATTTACCTCACAATGAAAATCAAACTCTTCATGCATGTCATATGAACCTTCCTTGTCAAAATTCATTTCATTTGATGATGGGGCTTGGAATTCATTAGTGGATTGTGGACTGTGAACCCCGAAAGCCGCTCTTAGTAGCTCATCCATATCATCTCGATCTACTTCCTTCCCATAATCACTAGGAGGCTTTAAGGTATTACTCCCTTCACCCTCACAATGGAAAATCCATTTTCTATAATTCTTATAAAAACCATTAAATAAAATATGGCCTCCTACTTCTTCTAAAAGATGCCATTTATTTAACTTGCACTTATTACATGGGCATTTGGTTTTTCCATCTATAAGAGTCTCCTTAGCAATCTTTAAGAATTTCATGCAACCCTCATAATAAGCAAATTTGCCTTTTGGTAAATCAATCCAACTAGTATCCATATCTACGATGAAATGTATAATAAAATTAATATTTAATAATTATTAATGAGTATCAATAATAAGCTAACAATAATTTGGTAATTAATATTATAAATTTTATAATTAAGAAGAGTGTAACAGCATATTCCATCACTTAGTTAATTTTTAGCACGGTTAGTAAATACTTTACCAAGGTTTCCCCTTCTATAGCTTTTATATGATCTTATCAATGCGGTTGGAGACAAATGGAAAATAAAGTGATCAAACATAATAATACATGGCAGCATTCACAAAAAAATAGAATACATTTTTCATATATGATCAATAATATAAATTATGTAAAACTATTTTGGGAGGCCTATCTACAAGACATATGACACGAAAATATAATATACAATTATGTGACATATAAAATAATTTGGGAATTTGGGTAGTTACCTCGGGTAACTCGCTAAGTGCAGCAACTATTACAATCTAGAACAATTTTTAGACAAGCTCCTCCTTTGTCACCTATTAAACACAAAAACACAACTTCAAATTTTAAGATATGTCCTAAATATTAGCCTATTGACTTAAGATTTATATATATTTTTTACATAAGTCAAACTTGTACGATTTTTAGTAATCTACTTGTTCACATATGGCCAACATTCTCAACATAAACATGTTTGATTATTGTTCTCACTAACATAAACAACCAACAAAGAAACAACACCAAAAAACAAAGAAAGAAACAACAACTAGTTAAGGTAGCAAGCAATCTATACACCACATGCAACAAAGAAAATAGCAAAAATAGTAGCCCTTGAGAACCAACAACAAGCACACAAACTAAAGCAGCACAACAGGAAAAGCAGCAGGCAAAAAGCACCAGCAGCAGCCTGGAGCAGAACCCAAGAGACCCAGCCAGATTCTGGGTATTTTTCTTCTCTACCCTACTCAATTTCTTGCCGCTTTACTTTGTTTTAATTTCACTATAAATTTCTCCAATTTAATAAAATTTATTTTGCAGCAAAAAAACCCCCTTTATTTTCTATAATTTCAAATAGCTTCAATCTAATTTGCGGAAGTTGTTGTTATCGATGAAGGGTGATAAATCAATTAAGAGTTCAACATTTAGTAAAATGAGGAAAACATTGTCTGATATTAGCAATTTGCATTCTCAACACAAATCGCCTTTCAAGAATCAGGACCTATAAAAAAAGTTTCAACCCACAAGCCCCAAATAAAATTAAAATTTCACAAAATTAATACAAAAATAACAATTCAATAAACATAATCAAGCAAAACAAATACCAATCAATAATAAAAAGTATTATATAAAAAAGTATCTAATTAATTGGACCATGACCTGTGATATATATTATTAACTTCTCTGCGTTGATCGTTTCGAAATCCCATTAGCAAAAACAATTCCCATAACATGCAATGAATAAACAAAGATCCAGCCTAAGCAACCTAATTTGAGTGATATATCAACCAAAAACTATGAAATTGATGCCTATAACAAGGAGATTACGGAAAATTGATGACAAGAGCGAGGGGGTTACCGATAATTGAAGATAATACTGAAGAGAGGAACAAAAATTCAACAAGTTCAAGCGGTTTAGGAGATCAGATGAGATCGATCGCAAGCGAGCATAGAAAAGTTAGGGTTTTGATGGCGAACTGAAGGGTTTTTTTTTTATTTTTTTTATTTTTTTATTTCTTCAATCTAACTTTTTGGTATACTGTACTGTATGGGCGATTTCTTTTTTTTTTTTTATATTTTTTTTAATTTTTTTGATTTAGCTAGCCCGCTTATTTTTTCCTAAAATTTTGAAATCCCGGGATGGACTGTAGTCACGTGCACTAAGGCACGTTTATTTACGACGCTTTTATGTGTCAAGACCCAATTGTGACACAAAAAAACGTCGAAAAAACATGGAAACTAAATTTTATGTTAACGCTTGTTACCTAGCGTCGAGCAAAAACGTCTAGAAACTAAGGGATTTGTAGTAGTGATGAAAAAATTGACAGATATATATTTCATGAAGGTCACTGCATCTGCATAATCCACTTTCTCCTTATCTCCGCGTCAGGTTGCCTTATGGAAGTCTCAGCAAGGGGATCACACTTCGGCTTGGTTGCGAGCGGTCCTGATATTAGGTTTGGGTCAGACTACGAATGGTAAGACTTACCGTTGTGTACTTTGCTACCGGTTGGGTGTTCCTTTGTTCTCCGTTTTGACACCGTGTTCTGCTTACTCAAGGGTTTTTGATGGGGATATTTATGAGGATCATGCAGTGTCTTGTGCTGGGATGGTGGGCATTAAACATCGGCACAACGTTGTTCGTGACACCCTTGTTGATATTTGTTTTCGGTCTGGGATTTCTGCAAGAAAGGAGGTTAACGTTGGGTTGACTGGAAGGAACGACGGGGCTCTTCGACCATCAGATGTGTTTTTTTATTCCTGGGATAGAGGCCTTGATGTATGTGTTGACTTGATGGGGTCTTCTCCTTTGACTCAATCTGGGTTGTCTGACTTCGTTCCTGGTCGTGTTGTGTTGGCTGCGGCTCAACGGAAGCGGAAGCGGGTAAGTATGGGGCGCTTTGCAGGGCTATTGGCTATGGTTTTCTTCCTTTCTCCTTTTCTTCATTATGGGAATTAGAGAAGGATGTTGTTGCGTTGCTGAAGCGGGTTCAGGCGTTCGCTAGGACTCAGGATATCGGTGCTCGTGCAACTGCTCACATCTTCAACAGGATCGGGTTCGCTATAGCTAGAGGGGTGGGGGCCCAGATTGTATTTCGACTCCCCACTAATTTCTTGTAAATCGATTGACTTTGTAGGTTTTTGTTATTTTTCTATAATAAGTATGTAGTACGTATAAGTGGTAGTAGTATAAGTCTAGTAGTAGATATATATATATATATATATATATATATATATATATATATATTATATATATATATATATATATATATATATATATATATATATATATATATATATATATTATATATATATATATATATATATAGTGGTAGCAGTAGCATATTGATGAAGTGATAACAACAACATTGGTAATAATGGTAGTAATAATTGTAATGTAATAAATATATCATAACAAATAGTAGTAGCAGTATGAGTAGTAAGGTACGTAGTAGTAGTAACTTAATATGATAATAAAAATAAGAGGTAGGAGATAGTAGTAGCATTAGGAGTAGGAAGTAGTACATGGAGTAATAGTGTAAGGGTATCAAAATATCAATAATAATAATAATAATAACAATAATAACATAACAATTGTAGATTAGTAGTAGTATATGTGTAGTAGTGTAGTACTTAAATTAGTAGTAGTAGCTAGTAATTAGTATAAAAATTAGTGGAAATCAACTTAAGAAATGTAACTATAGGAAGCAATAATTAAGGGAGGAATAAGGGGTAGGTGGCGTCACCTTTGGTGGTCGATGGCCGGATTGCGGCAAGTGCTCGGGGTGAAGCTCACGACCACAAAACAAAAGCTAGAAGAAAGTAAGTATGGAGAAGGAAGGAGAAGAGAGGAGAATAGAGCTTGGAGGAAGAAGATGGGGTGACAACAATGGACTGCATCCATGGCTATATATAGCCCCAACTCAGGCACTATTCCAACCATACTCATTAATACTGCTAACCCAATTAATGTAGCCGGCCTAATAAATGCTACTGCCCTAAAAAATGCAGCTGACCTAATAAATGTAGTGAATAGGAGTAGTATTATATAAGGGTTGACTTTGATTACGGGAGGATAAATAATTTGGTACTCGGTAGTTTGACTTGGAAGCAAAATACTGAAGGTTTAAAATCCGACAACTTTGAGTTGACTTGTATAATTAAATCCTTTATAAAGAGTAATTATCTTGGTAAATTCATATATTGACTTAAATAAATATTTTTGTATAATAATAATATATAATATTTAAAATATTTCAGGAAAAAAATCATAATTAATGATTAGTAAACGGCTTAAAATATGAGGTATACACTCTTGTCAGCCGACCACCAGCTGGCCTTCCTTATCTTCTTCCTTTCTTGTTTCTATAAACTTGTGTATTCATAATCTGATTTTTGGGTTTTGGTTTTTAATTGTTTGAAATTAGTTTTATTAGTATGAAAAATTATATTTTGATGATTTAAAGTTATAATTTCATATTATAATTGTTGTTTTAATTTTCAGATTTTGTGATTATAAAACCTTGGGTTCTAATTTGTTAAAATTGGGATTTTAGGGTTCCAATGAGTAATTATATTGGGGCTTTTGTACCTAATGTATTTCTAATGATTAATTAAGCATAAAAACATGTTTTTAAGGAAGTTGTAAAGAGTTTTAATCATATTTATATTGCTGGGAATTAGTTCGGGTATTAATTTTTTATTGTTGGTTGTTTTCTAGGAGGTGATTATTCCCTCAGAGATTTTTAAGTGATTAAAAACGGCACAAAGGATTGCTTACACGAGTTACATACATGTCTACTTCGTTGTAAGTTATATCATGTTTTGGTACCTAAAGGAAGTAACTTAGTTTCATGTTTAGAGAATCTTGGATGGAAACTGTTTGGTTAAACATTGAACTAATGCATGTGCTTATGTTTATGAGACATGTTTTGGTGAATTAATTATGTTTGTAAAGAATTATGGATGCAAGCATGTTGAATTGGATTATTTTTTGTATGGAATGTTGATACAAGCATATTTTTATTGGATTGGTTTATTAACCACATTTGGAATATTGAAGGATTGGAATTGAGTGGTTTAAGTGGAATGAATTTATTAATTATTCCACGAGGTTATTATTATTTTATTTATTACTCAAGCATGACTTGTTAGTATGTTGAGTAAAGGTGGATTAAGCCAAAATAGCTAGGTGGGTTGACTACGTTCAACAATTTTTGATATCTTGAAAGTTTAATGGAATTAAAGGTCAATTTGTGATGTGATCATCGTTGTCCTAAATAAGATTAAAAGTGAATTATATGTATGATTATTATGTATGGCTTATTTG